AATTGTACCCAAAACAGATCTTGACCTAGATATTCATCTGATAAATCTATAAACTAAATATCATTATCAGTATGTGCAACCTCTGCCAAACTGCAAATAATTGGAATTTTTCTATGTACAAGGGGGCATAACTCTGTCAAAAATCATGGGATCGTATCCAAAACAAAACTTGACCTAGATATTCATCTGATGTATCTGTATACTAAATTTCATTTCAGTATGTGCAACCCCTGCGATGAAAATGAATGGAAACTGCAAATAATTGGAATTTTTCTACGTCCAAGGGGCATAACTCTGTCAACAAGAAGCCCACGGGCCTTATAGGTCACCTGTGTATCCTGTAACAACTTTCCAACAATTGAATTTGATTCATGTTTTAAACCAGAGGCCATGAAATTCACAATTTTGAAAGAGATAACATTGCTTATCATCCTTATACACTTCGCATGTTTACTTTCAAATTGGTTACTTAATACCCAGAGGTAGATCAGAGCAACAAAGAGAAAATGAATTTCTATTTATAACCAGTTGTGCACCCACCCCACAGAAACCACTGACCCTAGGGCCACATATTTCAAAATTTTGGAAATTTCATCATGAATTTTATTTTATCATAAATTGATGATTAATATCAAAGTGCAGATTTCAAAGCATTAATTTATATTCAGACTATGTACCCTCCCTCTCCAAATATGACCCAAGGGCCCAGAAATTAACCATTTAGGAAGAAAACAGATCTTGACCTAGATATTCATCTGATAAATCTATAAACTAAATACATGTATCATTATCAGTATGTGCAACCTCTGCCAAACTGATGTACAAGGGGGGCAGCTTTCCAAAACAAAATTATAAAAATGTTCTTACATGTACATCATTGGCAGTCCCCAGGAGCAAAGGAAAAGTTTTTCAAAGAATATATCTATTTTCATTATACAAACATTTGAGCCCCACACTAACACAAGAAGCCCTGACCCAGGGGCCCTGATATTCACAAATCTCAAAGAGGCATTCTTCCTTTTCATAACTTTGTACATAGTTCATTGGTTTAATATCCAGGCGCAGAAAAGAAGATTTCAAAGAAATAATCCATTTTCACAAATAATCTTTATAGCCCTGTCCTAGCACTAACACCCCTGACCCTAGGGCCTTGAAATTCACAATTTTGGAAGAGACAGCCTTATTCAACATAACTATGCACTTGGTTAGTTTATTTAATGCCCCTGAGCAGAGAAAAAGAATTTCAAAGAATTTATGCATTTTCACTATATAATTGACTATATAGCCCTGCCCTAGCACTAGAACCCCTGACCCTGGAGCCATGAAATTAAAAATCTTGGAAGAGGCAGCCTCATTCAACGTAACTATGCACTTGGATAGTTTATTTAATGCCCATGCGTGAAAAGAAGTATTTCAAAGAATTTATGCATTTTCACTATATAATCTAATGTATATAGCCCACCCCCTAGCACAAACACCCCTGACCATGGGGATAGAAATTATCAATTTTGGAAGAGGCAGCCTTATTCAGCATAACTATGCACTTGGTTAGTTTATTTAATGCCCATGAGCAGAGAAGATTTCAAAGAATTTATGCATTTTCACTATATAATCTATGTAGCCCACCCCCTAGCACTAGAACCCCTGACCCTGGGGCCTTGAAATTCACAATTTTGGAAGAGGCAGCCTTATTTAACATGACTATGCACTTGGTTAGTTTATTTAATGCCCATGAGCAGAGGAGAAGAATTTCAAAGAATTAATGCATTTTCACTATATAATCTATATAGCCCCACCCTAGCACTAGAACACCTGACCCTGGGGCCATGAATTGTGAAGAAAATGAACGGAAACTAAGTGCACCGACAGACCGACAGCAGTAAAGCAATACTGTTAAAGTGGAAAGTTTGAAGAGGAGGAAACATTCACTATTTTGACGAATTACTTTAGCTTGTCAAAGTTTCCTCTTGTCAATTTTTTTTATTCTTTGTCGTTCCCTGGTGAAGGTGCTTTAGGTATATGGTGTAATCATGCATCATTGTCTTCCTTATATACTGCAAATGCCAATCCCGAAAAGATAATAACATTGTATACAGCATATAAACTTACATGAAATATTAATCTAGTTTTAAAAACGTAAAAATAATATATAAAATATCAGCTTGCAATTGAACTTTTACTTGATAAATTAGTCAAACACATACAGGTGACTTTAATGCCCATGAGCAGAGGAGAAGAATTTCAAAGAATTAATGCATTCTTCAGTATATAATCGTTTATTTTCCCTATATAACTAAGCAAAGAACTATATGCGGTATATTGCCATATATTGTGCCCCCCAAGATCAAACTTTGATGGAGATATATTTAATTAAGTTCTTAAACAGGGGAGTATATGCCACTTCAAAGCACTGAATATTTTCACAAGTAATGACGCCACATGTACGAGGACGTCACAAACATGACGTAAATTTCAGTTTTTTTATGAATTTTACAGAAAATTGTACATATTTCGTCGATATTTTGAGTAAAAGTCACCGAGCGCATGTGTGAAGGATGCTACTTTGATATAATGTGTAATGATAATATCAATGAAATATGTCAATATATACTGAACAAACTTGCGCTCTATAAATTTTAAAGCTAAAATTGTTGAAATTTTGTCCATTTAAACTCTTACATGAAAAAGGATATAAAATCGGACTAGTTTTAAAAACGTCATAAAAACATAAATGTGAATACACTGCTTTGACACTATAATATTTTCTGTTAATTTATATTTCTCATACAATTTATTGAATTCAGCACATTTCAGAAAGTTTTCAAAATTTGACTTTTGTGGGGGCAAATATATGCAATATACCGCATATAGTTCTTTACTCCTGATCTCTTGAACTTCTATCTCTCAAAGTTCTCTATCTCTCGAACCAAAACCTGGGTTCCGTTACACATATTTCATTGAATTTTACTCTCTCGAAGTTTTGATTGCGCGTGTATACATGCCGATCAAGCGTAAAATTGAGCCTGCACTTACCTGAAAAAACAATGAATGCCTGGGGCTAGCATGGAGGTGTTAATTGGGTGTTTACATAGATGTCACTACACCTGTGGGGCGTCTGAGTGTGTTGATATTTAAGCATTGAATTCATATTTTGGGATGTCTGCAGTCCTATAACTTACCTGGCCGTGCTGACAAATTGAATACCGCGCGTTAGCGCGGTATTATAATTTGTCGGCACGGCCAGGTGTGTTATAGGACCGAAGACATCCCAAAATATAAATTCAATGCTTATATTTACATTCTCTAATTTTGCTTTATCATATTTGTTTATTTCCATCGTGTTGAATGTGAATTTAGCGCCCTTCAGTATTGGTGTGCTTAATAAATGTAATAGCCGTTCGTGACGTTGGAAAGCCGTTTGTGACGTTGGATAGTTAAATAACGCAAATAAACATTGCAAGGAAATAAAATGACAAATTAGTTTTTGATGCACATTTGCTGTATTTTATGTTAATTTAAAAAGGGTATTACTTAAAAATGAAATGAGTCAAAACAATATACATTTTGGTATTCCTGCATATTGAAAATGCATGTAGTTCCTACTGTGTATTCTGCCGCGCTGTGACAAGGTTTCATGTGTGTTATAGAAATTTTAACGTCGTAGATTTCTATTGGATTTCATTAAAAAAAATTATACTGAATGTAAATATAATTAATCGGATATTATTGGAAAATTATAAATTCACAACTTATTTTGACTTGAAACTGAGACGATAATTTTTAGAAAATAAATTTATAGACGTTCGTTTCAATGACTTCCCATAGACTAGGAACTTTTATTAGAGTCTACATAATCCCAGTATGGCAAATATTGCACAAGAAATTCCTTTCTCAAGGACTGAATACCATTTAAGAAAAATCTGGTGATCACTGGTGAAGGGCCCGATCAAGCCGCGGAATAGCCAAACCGACAATTGTTATTCAGGTTTCATGTTATCATGAAATAAAAAAAAATAAATATTGAAACTTCAGGAATTTGTTTTATTTATTCGAAATACGATCATTGTTGTTGATATCAAGTACATTACCTGTAAAATACGATTGAAAATGTGCAATTACTTTATTTACATATACTTCCGGTATGTATAATAGTAGAACATCGATGGTCGGAACTGAAAATTCTGGATTTGATTTACTTTCTATCTCTCGAACCCCTTGATCTCTCAAACTTTTCTTGCGGTCCCTTGAACTTCGAGAGATCGAGAGTCACTTGTATTTAAACGACTCAATTATATATGGTACATTGATATGTAATTACTACCATGCCCTGCCGATCGGCAGGTAGTATAACCTACAGTTACACAAAAACAAACAAAAACTTCCGTTTATCAATTAATTTATTTAATTATAACTACTTTAAACATATCGTTAGTTTTTACAGGTCTGGAGGAGATAATTGTTTCTGACATTTCATGAAAAAAGTCGGTGGGTTCCGTCAATACCGACCGCAGTGAAGGCATTTTAGCCAGCATAACATGCTTACTGGCAAAAAAATAACTTGGAAAAACTACCCTTTTAACTAATTCTACATAAATTTAGTTGTAGCTATGGACTTGTCCGTACTTTGTCGTTGATACTCACATGCAGAAATTGGTAACAGTGTAAGGAAAATAAAGAAAGATAACTCATTTTTATTTTGCACAGTAAAAAAATTGTCAAAGTTTTCACTCGTCAATTTTTTTAAGATGAAGAAATTGTCAAACTTTCGTACTGCCAATATAACCACTTGTACAGTAGGCCCTCCCTTCTTCTAAGAGGGGCATAAAAACTGGTAAAAGTTTGATTGTGCATGACTATTGAATCCAAATGATTTGATTCCACAGTAATAATAATATTGAATTAACAATGAAGTTTATTTCATTATGCTAAAGAAATCTGGAAATCATTCTCACTCAAATTATATCATCCCCTGTATTCTGTACTTGGGAACTACTACTCACCTCTTGCTGTCGGAACAGATCACTATATTTTCCAAGTCCTAGTTTACTAAAAAGTTCTGGCAAGTCTGTGTGGTCACTGTCCCAAAAACTGTTGACTGGTGGTATATTAGCACTGTCTACATGATTACTACTGCTTAGATAATCATTGAAGTCACCTGTTAGGAAAGAAAGATGTTCCAATTTGAATTTCATAAAACAGTTGTTAAAACCAATATTGCCCTGCCTTATGTTACAAGCATCCATAATTTGCAATTCCCAAAGCATCACTTTAATGCTTCAAATGACTTTGAGACAGATCCACATTTACATGTTATTGTAATCTGTGTACCAAAGAATTTAGTGTGCCACATTATGTTAGTTGCTCTGAAACAAGAGGCCCGTTGGCTCCACTGCTCACATGAGCAAACTGGCAATAAAAAGCACAATTCAGTTCAGAATTTGAAAGTTTACAAGGTGGCAAACTTAAGTTTAACATGACCTAAGGATGCTTCCAATCAATAAAACTAATGGATTTACTGTTCTTAAACTGAGTATTTTAAAAATTTTTATTGAAAGCTGATTGTCCATTTTGGCTTCTCTCTATCCCTTGAGGATCTTGATTTAAATTATCATGCATCTACACTACCTGATGCTTTCATATTAATATGACTTATTACATGGCTTTACTTTTGTTAGATTTTTAAAGATTCATCCTCTGTTTCCTAATGGCTATTAAAATACTTTCATCTCCCACTGTGGCCCCACCCTACCCTCTGGGGTAATCCTTTGAACAAACTTGAACTAACTCTGCCTGAATATGTATGCATATGAATTTTGACAAATCATAGCTTTGTTGTTTTGGGGAAGAATTTTTTCTTTCTTTTTATTCCTATGTAAGAAATCTTGGGAAGAATTTTATCTTTCTTTTTATTCCTATGTAAGAAATTTGATCCCTCACTGTGGCCCACATGCCCAGACTACCTCCCCCCCCCCCAGGGGGGCATCATTTGAAACAAGAGGCCCAGGGGCCACATCGCTCACCTGAGCACATCGACTAGGAAAAAGCACATATCAGATCAGAACTGAAAGTTTACTGGGGGGGGGGGGCTTCAATTTTAATACTATTTGAGAATGCCTTCATATCAATACAGCATATGACTTTGCTGTTATTGATAAAAAGATTTCTTTTTTAAACATTTTGTTCCTACCGGTATATATTATTTGGTAAAAATTTGAATTTGATTCCCCATTGTTTCCCTCCCTATCCTAAAGGGCCATGATTTGAACAAATTTAAATCTTCAATACATGAGGATGCTTACACGCCAATATGACTAAACGTAGCTTTTCTGTTCTTGGGATTTTTTCCTTTATTTGTTCCACCATAGTGGCCCCACCCTACCCTTTGGGGTTATGATTTGAACAAATTTAATTCTACACTACATGAGAATGCTTCAATATAAATACTAGTACTACTAATCATGGCTTTGCTATTCCTGATAAGAGGACTTTTAAATATATTTTAATGTAAAACTTGGATCCCCCATTTTAGCCCCACCCTACCCCCAGGGGTCATAATTTGAACAAACTAGAATCTACACTACCTGAGGATGATTCCATATAAATATCTCTAATCATGGCTTTAAAGTACTTGAAAAGAAGATTTCAAAAGTTTTCCATATATATTCCTATGTAAAACTTTGATCGGCCATTTTGGCCCCACCCTACCCCAGGGGGTCATGATTTGAATAAACTTGAATCTACACTACCTGAGGATAATTTCACATAACTTTCATCTTTCCTGTCTCAATGGTACTTGAGAAAAAGATTTTACAAGATTTTTCCTATATATTCCTATGTAAAACTTTGATTGACCATTTTGGCCCCACCCTACCCCCGGGGGTCATGATTTGAACAAATTTGAATCTACACTACCTGAGGCTAATTTCACCCGAGTTTCATCTTTCCTGGCAGAGTGGTTCTTGAGATGAAGATTATTTAAAGATTTTTCCAATATATTCCTATGTAAAACTCTGATCGGCCATTTTGGCCCCACCCTACCCCAGGGGGTCATGATTTGAACAAACTTAAATCTACACTACCTGAGAATAATTTCAAATAAGTTTCATCGATCCTGTCTCAATGATATTTGAGAAAAAGATTTTTCCTATATATTCCTATGTAAAACTTTGACCGGCCATTTTGGCCCCACCCTACCCCCGGGGGTCATGATTTGAGCAAATTTGAATCTACACTACCTGAGGCTAATTTCACATGAGTTTCATCTTTCCTAGCCCAGTGGTTCTTGAGAAGAAGATTTTTAAAAAGATTTTTCCTATATATTCCTATGTAAAACTTTGATTGACCATTTTGGCCCCACCCTACCCCCGGGGGTCATGATTTGAACAAACTTGAATCTACACTACCTGAGGATAATTTCACCTGAGTTTTATCTTTCCTGGCAGAGTGGTTCTTGAGAAGAAGATTTTTAAAAGATTTTTCCTATATATTCCTATGTAAAACTTTGTTCATCCATTTTGGCCCCACCCTACCCCAGGGGGTCATGATTTGAACAAACTTAAATCTACACTACCTGAGAATAATTTCAAATAAGTTTCATCGATCCTGTCTCAATGATATATGAGAAAAAGATTTTTCCTATATATTCCTATGTAAAACTTTGATCGGCCATTTTGGCCCCACCCTACCCCCGGGGGTCATGATTTGAGCAAATTTGAATCTACACTACTTGAGGCTAATTTCACATGAGTTTCATCTTTCCTAGTCCAGTGGTTCTTGAGAAGAAGATTTTTTTAAAGATTTTTCCTATATATTCCTATGTAAAACTTTGATTGACCATTTTGGCCCCACCCTACCCCCAGGGGTCATGATTTGAACAAACTTGAATCTACACTACCTGAGGATAATTTCACCTGAGTTTTATCTTTCCTGGCAGAGTGGTTCTTGAGAAGAAGATTTTTAAACGATTTTTCCTATATATTCCTATGTAAAACTTTGATCGGCCATTTTGGCCCCACCCTACCCCAGGGGGTCATGATTTGAACAAACTTAAATCTACACTACCTGAGAATAATTTCAAATAAGTTTCATCGATCCTGTCTCAATGATATATGAGAAAAAGATTTTTCCTATATATTCCTATGTAAAACTTTGACCGGCCATTTTGGCCCCACCCTACCCCCGGGGGTCATGATTTGAGCAAATTTGAATCTACACTACCTGAGGCTAATTTCACATGAGTTTCATCTTTCCTAGCCCAGTGGTTCTTGAGAAGAAGATTTTTTAAAAGATTTTTCCTATATATTCCTATGTAAAACTTTGATTGACCATTTTGGCCCCACCCTACCCCCGGGGGTCATGATTTGAACAAATTTGAATCTACACTACCTGAGGATAATTTCACCTGAGTTTTATCTTTCCTGGCAGAGTGGTTCTTGAGAAGAAGATTTTTAAAAGATTTTTCCTATATATTCCTATGTAAAACTTTGATCGGCCATTTTGGCCCCACCCTACCCCAGGGGGTCATGATTTGAACAAACTTAAATCTACACTACCTGAGAATAATTTCAAATAAGTTTCATCGATCCTGTCTCAATGATATATGAGAAAAAGATTTTTCCTATATATTCCTATGTAAAACTTTGATCGGCCATTTTGGCCCCACCCTACCCCCGGGGGTCATGATTTGAGCAAATTTGAATCTACACTACCTGAGGCTAATTTCACATGAGTTTCATCTTTCCTAGTCCAGTGGTTCTTGAGAAGAAGATTTTTTTAAAGATTTTTCCTATATATTCCTATGTAAAACTTTGATTGACCATTTTGGCCCCACCCTACCCCCGGGGGGTCATGATTTGAACAAACTTGAATCTACACTACCTGAGGATAATTTCACCTGAGTTTTATCTTTCCTGGCAGAGTGGTTCTTGAGAAGAAGATTTTTAAACGATTTTTCCTATATATTCCTATGTAAAACTTTGATCGGCCATTTTGGCCCCACCCTACCCCAGGGGGTCATGATTTGAACAAACTTAAATCTACACTACCTGAGAATAATTTCAAATAAGTTTCATCGATCCTGTCTCAATGATATATGAGAAAAAGATTTTTCCTATATATTCCTATGTAAAACTTTGATCGGCCATTTTGGCCCCACCCTACCCCCGGGGGTCATGATTTGAGCAAATTTGAATCTACACTACCTGAGGCTAATTTCACATGAGTTTCATCTTTCCTAGTCCAGTGGTTCTTGAGAAGAAGATTTTTTTAAAGATTTTTCCTATATATTCCTATGTAAAACTTTGATCGGCCATTTTGGCCCCACCCTACCCCCGGGGGTCATGATTTGAACAAACTTGAATCTACACTACCTGAGGATGGTTCCACCTGAGTTTCATCTTTCCTGGCAGAGTGGTTCTTGAGAAGAAGATTTGTAAAGATTTTTCCTATATACTCCTATGTTAAACTTTGATCGGCCATTTTGGCCCCGCCCTACCCCCGGGGGTCATGATTTGAACGAACTTGAATCTACACTACCCAAGGATGATTCCACATAAGTTTCATCTTTCCTGGCCCAGTGGTTCTTGAGAAGATTTTTTTTAAAAATGCCATTAATTTTTCTCAAATTTATGATTATCTCCCCTTGGAAAAGGGCGTGGCCCTTCATTTGAACAAACTTGAATCCTCTTCACCCAAGGATACTTTGTGGCAAGTTTAGTTGAAATTGGCCCAGTGGTTCTTGAGAAGAAGATGAAAATGTGAAAAGTTTACGACGATGACAACGACAACAACGACTACAACGACTACAACGACTAGAACGACAACGACAGACAACGGACAAATTTTGATCAGAAAAGCTCACTTGAGCCTTTCGCTCAGGTGAGCTAAAAAATCAGTTCTATCCTTCCTGCGGATGTGTTCATCAATATGATTAATCATGGCTTGCTGTTCTTATGGAGATTTCAAGATTGTTTTCCAATACAGTGGCATTCAATTTTCCCCTCGATATTCTGTCTCATTAATCTGGAAATTCATATTCCAGTCATCTTGACAGTCAATTTCAAATAATACAAGAGACCCATGACCCATGGGTCACATCACTAATCTGAGCATATGGGCTAGGTAAAAAAACCCAAATCAGCTCAGTATTGAAAAGTTTACTTGGGGAGGGGAGGGGAGGGGGGAAATTGAATTTCATATTACTTGAGAATGCCACTATATCAATATAGCTTATATCACACGAGTTCGCGTACCTCTGTAAAATAAAAAACATTTGTAATATCTACAATAACACATGGAGTGCAACCGTTGTCTGCGACACCATTACGTGACGTCAAGGGTGATGCATTTACCCAAAAAGAACAAACATAGGTAATCAGAGATTATAGAGCTCACCTCAACGAATGTCGTCTTTAAGTAAGGCAGAGTCACATAATTACCCAACAAAAAGTGTACATCCAAAAATGCAAAATTTATGCAATCTTAATTTGATACTTTGGAATAGACCTATATAAAAACTTCAAACTAGTTCTTCATCATGAAAACGCAATTAAAATCCAGCATCTGAAACAAGTTTGAGAGTTTTCATCCCTTGATGCATCATTTATGCAAGTTTGGTTTATATAAGCCTTATAGTTTCTTGGTAATAGACCTGCACCCATAACTTTTACGAGGTCCATTATCTGGAAAATTTATGTCGAATTAAGCATCTGAAGCAAGTCCATTAGTGTGCATCCTAAAATGTATCATCATTGCAAGTTTGCTCAACATAGAGCTCAAAGTTACTTGGATATTAAACCTGTATAAAAAACAAACCTTTTCACTAATCCAGAAAATGTAGGTCAGAATCAGCATCCGAAGACAGCCTAGCAGAATGCACCCTTAGATGTATCATCAATGCAAGTTTTGTCATTATAGGGCTCAAAGTTACTTGGAAATGAATCCTGCACCAAAAACTTTAACATGTTCACTCGTCCAGCAAATGTAGGTCAGATTCAGCATACGAAGCAAGTCTGGTAGTATTCATCCTAAGATGTATCATCCATGCAAGTTTAGTCATTATAGGGCTCATAGTACATTGGAAATGAAACCTGCATCAAAAACTTTAATATGTTCACCCAACTGGAAAATGTAGTTTAGATTCAGCATCCAAAGCAAGTATGGTAGTATGCATCCTTAGATGTTTCATCCATGCAAGTTTGGTCACTAGGTCAGATTCAGCATCAGAAGCAAACCCATCAAATAATTTGAAGTTTTGGGATGAAATTAGATTTTTAATATATTTTTGTATAAAATGCTATTAAAATATATATAAATCGTAATGTTATACAGGAAATATTAAGTACAAATTTGTGTCCATGCACCTTTAAATGTAATCAGTATCAACCATCTACGTGTATTGAAACATTATTAATAGGGATGGGTATCGCCAAAAGTTTCGTATCGCGATATATCACGATTTTCCCCACAATATCACGATAATATCATGATATTTTTAAAACCAGTTTTTACAATGATTTTATATGAAAAGTCATTATTTTTCTAGAAAATATGCTAGAAAAATAAAATTTTATTTTCTTGAAATTTTTATGTATATAAAATCAATTATGTTTGGACGGTAAGATGCCGTTCTTTTCACTTTTTACATTTTTTATACTTTCTGTATTTGTAATTTGAAAGATTGAACAAATAAATGAATTATTTCTGGATTTTATAATATGTACCAAAAGACCGGTATTTAGGCCTCCGTATCACGATACGTATCACGCAACAAAAAATCGCGATATACCGGTATACCGATAAAATCGCACATCCCTAATTATTAACCTTTTCTTAATAATTGTAGTCACAACCTCGTCTATGATTTTTTAAGGACATGCATGTCTATATACTGTTTACGCACTTACTTTATCAATACTCATGAAGAGACTGAGTTCTTCATTACAGATATTGCTCAATTGTTTTGTTATTACAACAACTTCTAAAATTTTGTGGAAGGTATTCATTTTTTATTACACCCCATGTGTCTCAAATCATTTAATCATTTCATTTCAGACAAAAATAGGTGTTTATATTGCGTGTATAACTTTAACTTAAATCGTGCAGTACCGATTTGTGCAATTTTTCTTATGTGAGTGTCAATGTAAATGAGTCTGTAATAAGTGGTGCATGGTCATTCAAAGCTTCTGTTTTTAAAGATGCTTTCACATAAAATTCCGCTTTTCTGGCCCAGTGGTTCTTGAGGAGAAGATTTTAAGACTTCTCTCATAATATATTTTAAAATAAAACTGGATTTCCTTTTTTGATCCTGCCTTACCCCCATATTGAACAATTTAGAATACACACTACCTTGGGATGCTTTCACATAAATGTCAGCTTTTCTGGCCCAGCAGTTCTTGAGAAGAATATTTATAAATTATTTTTTTCTGTATATTGCAATGCTAAAATTTGATTCAAGGGGCCTGTGCTGGTTTGAAAAAAATTGTTTCAGCTTTTCGGGTCCATTGAAAGATTTTTAAAGATTTTTCCTATATATTTCAATGTAAAAGTAATTTTCTAAAGTGGCCCCACCCTACCACCAGGGGTCATGATTTGAACAATTTGGAATCTGCCCTACTCGCGGAAGCTACCACATAAGTTTCAGCTTTTCAAGTCAGTGGTTCTTAGGAAGATTATTTTTTAATGATCCAACCCAACATTTGTCTATTCTGGAGTCCCCCCTCCTTGTGAGGGGGCTTGGCCCTTCAATTTAATATTTGAATTTATCTTCCTTTCACCCAATATTGTTTTGTATAAACTTTGGTTGAAATTGGCCCACTAGTGGTTCTTGAGAATAAGATGAATATGTAAAACGTTAACAGATGGACAGACAGACAGATAGTCAGAGATGAACAGAAGGACAATGCATGGACAGGAGACATGGATGATCAGAAAAGCTCACTTGAGCTTTCAGCCCAGGTGAGCTAAAGAGTGTACATACATTTTCTGCGTGGGCTTGGGTATTCTCCAGGTGCAAAATTCATTGGTTTGCTTCCAATCAAGCCAGGACTGGAACTATCCCAAGGATCAATATCCACTTCTTCGTTTTCATTAGGATTCTGTATATATAGATATATATTATGAGTGTTGTCAAATTGGACAATTTTTATTAACCAGGCACTTGCTTTCTTTTCCGATCGAGTAACCGCTTACTCATATGGTTTTTCTTTGGACCTAAAAAGACCTCATTTTACAGTATATACAGTACCAACCAGATCCAACCTGACACCCAAACAGTCCCAGAAAGCAGTCCCCAGGACTGCTTTGGCACCTGAGTGGCACTGTTCTGGGACCACTGTAGGACTGCTCTTGAAAGCAGACCCAGCAGTCCCAGCTGTCCCTGGGACTGCTTTGTTCACTCATGTGTAAAAAAGGTTCTGAGTGACATGATAGCTCCACCACTTGTGTATTCTGAATTTGCAGGCTCCCTGTTGTTTTGTTTACTTGCAGCAGAGAGGAGTTTAAACTATTAAAAGAGCAAGGATTTCTTACAATCTTTTAATAAGTAGAGATTATTAAAGTTAATTAATATTTTCAGGGACTGTATATTTACGCAATTGTAGTTTAGAATAAATAAAAAAAAAACTAGAACTGTCCAATAGGGACAAATACCCCCCGCTGGGTTTTTCAGAGAAGGTGCCAATTCAAAAATACTTTATGGATCTAGAGGTGTTCGCAATTTACTTACAAAAATTTGCAGTGAAATATAATTGCTCATCATGTTTCTTAATGAATGAAACAAAGGTGCAACCAAATGAAACATCAATACTAATACATTGTAATTCCATTGTAACATTATTTTTTTTATTTAATTTTGTTATTTCTGCATTAAAAAAATATATTGCAATTATGTGTTATGTCACTCTGCAAACTGATTGTTGAAAAAAAATCATATTATACAAAATCAAATTAATCTTGATAACTTTATATCAAATTCAATTGAAAATAAAGAGCTGGTCATCCAGTAATGAAGTGCTTTGACAGACAATAAATTACAATTAAGAGAATAAGAGAAGAGAGATCTTTAATTCTTGTGCCTGATTCCCAGGAGATTACACATGGTTGATAATAAGATGCCTTAACGTTCAACTTCCCACACCAAACTCATTAATTTATCTTTAACTGGATGCATGTCCAGTCATTATTCCCAAGAGATAAATAAAATTACATTATCTTCTGTGCAATGTAAAAACTGTTTTTAACACTTGATGATGTTTCTTTTTTAAAAGTTTATATGAGTAGTTTTAAGCTGTAGTATTTTTGTACAGATATTCTAGATTCTATGTCTCAAACCTTATACATGAGCCCAAAATGAACAAGTCAATTAAAATAAAAAATAAAACCTGTAAAATGCAAAAAAATGAACAAAAAGAGTTGAAAATTCCAATTGCACACCTTCATATGGTGAATAATAAGTGTACAAATTTTCAGATTAATCCTTGCAATAGTTTCTGAGAAACGGTCTGGACCAAACCACAAAATAAAAATGAAAAAACACCTGTTAAATTCAAAATAATAATCGAATCAAGATGAAAATATCAGGTGCACAACTTCATATGGTGAATAATATTTGTACAAATTTTCAGACAAATCCTTTCAATAGTTTCTGAGTAATGGTCCGGACAAAATCTCGTCTACAGACAGACAGACAGACGGACAGACGGACAGACGGACATGGTGATTCCAATATACCCCCCCTAAACTTCGTTTGCAGGGGGTATAATAAAGTTATTAAATAAGGAAGTCAGAAGATTTTTATCCCTAAAAATAAACTACAGGTTTAAGAGAAATTTTTTTAAAAAAGTTTATTCTTAAGGGGGGACCTATGTTGTTCTACGTCAAAGCAGCGTTATGTGACATCACAATAGTGACGTTTATTTTTACCTGTTGACTTTAGCAACTGTGATATAGGCTTAACATTGTTCATCAATAATGTTCACAGTTTACAAAAAGAAAATTTAGACATCATTAATAGTAGTTTTATTCCATTAATTGAGTTTGTTGATATTAGAAATATCTTCCTTTGGTTGATAATTCATAGCAATTTCAGTTGTGAAAAAATACCTCCATAATATGCTGATATATGTGCAAAAAGATAAGATAAAAATGAAGACAACAAAGAAAGCGGCTTAAATCAGAGAAATATGTTTAATTTTATGTTTACCATTAATTGTATTTTATGTTTACCATTAATTGTACTTTGTAATATTTGCTATTTGCTTGTTGATTAGGACATTTAGATTTAAATTGTATAAGTAATTCCTAGGTTAATTCTTTTAGGTATTGGTTGTTGACGGGGGTGGGGGGGGTGGGGGGTGGGGGAGTGGGTGATTGGAATAAAAAAAAAGGAGAAAATACTTATAAATTTACAAAAACTTCAAGTAATATTTAGGTCTTTCCACCTTTCCGTGGAAAGACCTATTGAAATTGTTCTGTTTATTATTAGGTCTTTCCACCTTTCCGTGGAAAGACCTATTGAAATTGTTCTGTTTTTTATTAGGTCTTTCCACCTTTCTGTGGAAAGACCTTTTGAAATGCTTCTGTTTTTTATTATTCTATTTCTCACCTTATGTTTTGACACCGTAAGACTTATCGAAAAACATTATAGTTCATGACACTGGATATTTAAAGTTATTCCGAAAAATGACCCCCCATGTTTTAACTTGGACCCCTTATGCGGTTATTGCCCCTTTCACCGTTAAGCTTGTTATCGCTACTCCTCCGAAACCGTAAACCGTAGAGATATAAAATCTTCACCATTGTCTTCAACTACTTTAGGAGACTTTTCAATCTATTCATTGCGAAAGTTTTCTTTGACCCCTTCAATGAGTAACTGCCCCTGAAAGTTTATAAATTTTATAAAAAACTAAAAATTTTCAAAACGAGAAGTCGTAGAGACATGAAACCAACTGCATCAGTTTTATTGACCCTTGACCTTCAAATTCATTTCAAGGTCAAAGGTCAAGGTCATTCCAAATATGAGGAATGAATTTCTTTTATTAGCTCTTATATCCCTAAACATATACAATCTATCTTCTGTCTATGATATGCACTCTTATTACTCTTGCGAAGATATAAATCTTGTCCCCTAAGATTGACCCTTTTAAAAGTTGTTGCCCCTTGTGCTAAAAACCCTTGTTATCGCTACTCCTCTGAAACCGTAAACCGTAAATGTATGAAACCTTCACCAATGGCTTTGCCTAATTATGGGGACTTTTCAATCTATTCATTGCGAAAGTATTCGGTGACCCCTTCAATGAGTTATTGCCCCTGAAACTTTTTGAATATTACAAATAATTAAAAATTTTCAAAACAACAAGTCGTAGAGACATGGGACCAACTGCATAAGATTCATTGACCTTTGACCTTAAATTCATGTAAAGGTCAAAGGTCAAGGTCATTCAAAAAATGAGAAATTTAGCTCTTTTCATATTTCTTTTGTCTTTCAACATATACTTAATGTCTATGCATCATTGATATGCACTCTTAAATCTATTTCAAAGATTTCATTTTTGTCCCCTTAGATTAACTTCTTTAAAAGTTATTGCCCCTTGTGCGAAAAACCTTGTTATCGCTACTCCTCCCAAACTATAGACCGTCGAGACGCCAAATCTTCAGTGGTGTGTTAAGGGTCTTTAGGCCTAACTTCATGTATAAATGCAAAAGGATCTGATGACCCCTAATATGAGTTATTGCCCTTTAACTTCTTTATACTTAATATAAAACCTTATAACTTGAAAATTATAAGTCGTAGAAGCATGGGGTTAATTGCATTGTGACCTTTGACCTTGAATATTTTCTCGAGGTCAAAGGTCAAGGTCATTTCATATTTCTTTTTAATTTTCATTTTTCTATCCTTTAAGACAAATTTGGTTTCTTATTCATGGAATTTGATTTTAAGGAGTCAGATAGAAATAAATCCAAAAAATAGTTAAATATAAACAAAATTGAACAATTCAAAGAAGGTGGAAAGACCTCTTATTGTTCTGTGAACAATAAGTCTCCTAGTTATTAGGTCTTTCCACCTTTCTGTGGAAAGACTCTGAAATGCTTATGTTTATTATTATTATTTCCACCTTTCTGTTATCTGATTTGCTTATGTTTTTATTTTTTATTATTTTTCCGCCGTGTGATTTTGAGTTTCAAGATTTATCGAAAAGATTTTAAGTTCACCGTAAGAATGTACTCTTCGACTAATTAGGAAAGATTGCGAAAGTATTTGCAGTTATTGACCCTTATTTTTTTTTAATTTTGCGTATATGAACTATGACCTCTTTTGACCTTTGTCATGAAATTTCCCCATTTTTGGAAAAACAGTCTTGTTATCGCTACTCCTCCAAAACCGTAAACCGTAGAGAAATGAAACCTTCACTAATGTCTTCATCTAAGTAACTAGACACTTCATTGATCAATTGGAAGAGTATTTATTGACCCCTTCAATGAGTTATTGCCCCTGGAAGTTTTTGAATTTTACAAATAATTAAAAATTTTCAAAACGAGAAGTCGTAAAGACATGGGACCAACTGCATAAGATTCATTGACCTTTGACCTTAAAATCTATTGAAAGGTCAAAGGTCAAGGTCATTCGAAAACTGAGAAATTTAGCTCTTTTTATATCTCTTTTGTCTTTTTAACATATATTTAATGTCTATGCATCATTAATATGTACTCTTAAAACTGTTTCAAAGATTTCATTCTTGTCCCCTAAGATTAACCCCTTTAAAAGTTATTGCCCCTTGTGCAAAAAACCTTGTTATCGCTACTCCTCTGAAACCGTAGACCGTTTCGACATCAAACCTTCACTAATGTCTTAAGAATCTTTAGGCTAAACTTCACTGTATAAGAGTGAAAGGATCTGATGACCCCTTATATGAGTTATTGCCCTTTAACGTCAGTGTACTTATTATTAAACCTTATAAATTGAAAAGTATAAGTCGTAGAGGCATGGGGTCAATTGCATTTTGACCCTCGACCTTTGACCTTGAATATTTTATCAAGGTCAAAGGTCAAGGTCATTCATTTTTTCTTCATTTTTTCTATGGTTTAAGAGAGTTTTGGT